ACATGAAAGCATTGGATCTGTCAAGATTCAAATGTTTTATGTAATATAATGTAGATTGATTCAAGTGAGATACATACATAATATGAAAAAAAAACTTATCTTTTTTGATGTTAGATCCAAAAATACTTGAGCGGAGCTCTAGAAAGAAAATATTTGAGATGAAATTAGATTATAAGATTATGTTGAAATCAAACAAGCATAATAATCCAAGCATACAAATTATATTATATATATATATATATATATAATATTTGATGATGTCAACTTATCTCATCTCACATTGAGATGATTTATGTAAGAAATACTACATGCACAAAGTAATATTTTTGGATATGCTAGTGTTGTGAAATTTATAATCTATGATGTGTGTATTCTAAAGCCAATACATATTATAAGATAAAGCAAGTATACAGATTGAGCAAAAATTGAAGGAACAAATATTTATTTAGAAGATTCATATAACTCCATCACATAATGAAAATCAACCAAAATTGTTTTCTAAGAGATATTCAAATTAGATCAATAAAACTCTCATCAGATTTGGATTATGACATAATTCATCCAATCTAAAAGATCATGATATTAAAATTGAGATGTATGTAGACATTGCATTGAATTTGAAAAAAAATTATTTATTTTTAAAGAGAAAGTTAAGACTTTGTAGAGAAGCTTTAGCTTTAAAGTTTTGTTATAGAGTATAAAATGGAATTATTGATTGAAAACAAGACTTGAAGATTAGTGGATTTTTTACAAAATCAAAATTTGATTCATAATACTTTGAGGTATATCTTGAAAGAAAATCTAGCATATGAAAGAATTAAAAAAAGAATCAAATTAGTATCTAGAGATTACATAGAAGAAAAAATTGTGAACTACAAGAAAAATTTTCACTTAGTACAAGGTATGTTCCAATTCAACTAGTATGTACATTTTCTGTAATATTTAGTTTGATTTTGAATAAGATGTATGTAATTATGATTTTTTTATGGAAAATTTAAAAAAAATCATGAAACAATCAATTGATTTTGGGAAGAGGTCAAAAAAGTTGATTTATAGATAGTTAAAATCATGATATAAATTGAAACAAGTTCTTGGTTGTAAAATTTTTAGATAATTAATTTTTTGATGAGTTCATGAAAGCACAAGTATTTTCATGAGATTTGTATGATTCATATGTATATTTGAAGAATTTGAATAAAGATGATTGTAGTTTGTTTGCGGGTTTATTAAATAATATCAATTCTTGATAGGTTGCATTGATGTTGACTATAGATTAAAGATTATTTGCAATTGTTTTTAAATGCATTAGTTAAAGATATTATTTGCAAAAATGATTGGTTCAATTCATAATAAAAGCTGAATATACAGAAATAGAAAAGGCAACAAAGTATGTTATTTGATTGAATCTACTTAACATTGAGACGAGTTTGACACAAAAAGTTATCTATCTTCACTATGATAGTAAAAGTATTTTACGTTTGTTTCATATCAAATGATTGACAACAAAGTGAAACTCATTGATATCATATATTTTTTTCATCATATTATATTATATATTTTTAAAAATTGAACTACTCAAGATTGACAATAAATTCAATCAAATTGATAAGTTGTCCAAAGTTATTCATTTGGAGAATTTTGTGTCATTTTGCCTAATTTGGGTGAGAATCATGAGTAAAATCTACAAACAATTCTTTTACTTTCATATTATTTTGACTATAGTCTTATTTAAATTAGCTACAATTTGAAGAGTAAATTAGTTAGTCTACTTTCTAAAATTATAATCATAATAATCATATAACTTATGAAGTTTACATCTTTACAAATGAGTTAAGGATGAAATTGATAGAAGTTTATTCAAATGTTTTGGCAACTTGAGCTTGCTAAGTTAGCATTAAATAACCACTAAAACTTGTTATAGTGTTTCTATATAAGAGAATTAGTAAAAACTCCTAATGGCCGTTTAAGATTTTTCTTTTAGTAAAGCATGAGGTATTTCCTTGAACATAATCTTTTGATATCAATCACGTATCTCCAATGTGTTAATGATATTTGTTTGTGAGTGCTTTTTACGTGCTTGTGGAAATACAACAACCAAAAGTATAATTAAAGTTGTAATTTAGATTATTTTTTGTAATCATAATCAATTATTATGAACTTTTTTATGAATGTTAAGTAGGTTTCTATTTTTTTTGTCTTGCATCTTTTGAAATGGTTTTTTTGATATTCTATTGACAAAAAATTCTAAATTTATATGTTTTCTCCCTTATGAATTAAAATTATCTTAATTCTAATTTAATGGGTTATTATTTTTTGCTACAATTAAATTTTGAAATTTTATGAGCTAAAAATATTTTTAAAACATGAATATTAAGTTGCTCATATACATAATTCAAGTTCTTTCTAGTTATGGTTAGACAGCATATATTTTGAACATAATGAGAAAAATTGTTACAAAAGATGAATTAATTACATTTATAATGATAAATATCATGATTTTTAAAATAAATATTGTAATTTAATAATCATCCATACATGTGTAAATGACAAAAATGAATTTTAGAAAAAAATGAATTGTTTTGCATTATTTTTCTAAATTCAAATTGATTTTGAAATAAAATTAAGTGAATAAACAATATTTGTACTTGAACACATAAGCTACCAGGTAAAAGAAGACTGTACTACTCTTACTCATTAATGGGCGACATGACAGATGTCATTATGAACACATCACTTCTTACACAATGTCTCCAATTTTTTGGCCAAAAATCAGTGCATTTTTCATTTTATCATGACATAATTTATCATAAGATCTAGATGATATTGATTGAAAATGAACATTATATTGTTAGAAAGTTGTTGTGGACACATTATGGTTTGAAATGATGTTAATGTCTGACCGTTTAGACAAGTTGTTCAAGCATATAGCTTACATTGATTATTCAACAAGAGCTATCCATTTTAGTTGCTGAATGGATTTTGGGATTCCGAATTATTGATGCAAGCTATTCTATTGAGAAGATAACAACTATTTTGAAATACATATAAGTTAATGACCCTCTAATCACCAAGACGCTAACGTTGTTTCAGGTAAAGGTCTCCGTTTTGGAATATTGTATTTAGTTTGTACATGCTTGACATTTAATGATAATATTGACTCACAAACTCATTACGTGTCTCTAGGTGACGAAAGAGATTCTGACCAGTTTCAAACATGGAGAGATATCATAGCTTCTGCATCTATCAGAAGGAACCAGGGGCAGCCTCGAAGTGTGCCCCAACTAAGAATTCTATTTCTGTCCAAACTAGGTCCTATTTGCTACCAAAAGAACACAGTCTCTCGGCAAAGATTACCAACAGATCACGACAATAACCACAGTACAATAATATTGACGCTCGGCTTCAACTGCGTCCCGACACCCCTCGCGGATTAGTTAACTCTATTTCTAAACTTCAACTTTAGCATGCGCGATTGATGGAATAAGATATAAACCAATGAATGCTACGGTGACATCGGAGTTTAACAAAAGCATGCAAATCCGCAAATGGTACAAACATTTGGATTGCATGATCTGAAACCTCAGCGTAGAAGGAATTTTGCCTCAACGGGCCTGGAGAGTCTTCCTGCTGCGAATTTTAATCCGGAGTGAATGACTGAGAGGGCCGTGTCGAAGTCCAGCCTTCGAGCAATGTTTCAGAGGGATTACTTTAACTCGGAGGGATGGAGAACTTACGGTCGTTGAGAGACAAGAACTCCATTCAACTGAATGAGTGTGTGACTGCAGTGACAGGGTCCGATAATAGGTGAATGTTCGGGCCCGGGGACATTGGTCCTTGCAGATCATCCATCCTCTGCACGGCCTTGCTTGGGAAAAAAATCGGTGTAGTCACGGCAAGTTCCGAGGTACGCTCAGCAAGTGCCGGATCCAACCACTGACGGACGATTGTGATCAGAAGCTAGTGATAATCTTCCTACCCAACATCCAGTGTAATTCACGTGTTTCGAAGCAGGCTTCAGCGTCGAGATACCGTGACATACAGACACTGGATCTAAATACTGACAGCTATTGTGCTCCGGGAGCTAGTTTTATATTCACGGTACCGAAAGCCCAGTATTCGTTGAACGTTTTGGAGCGTAGTTCGGCCTTAGGACACAAGGTCTTGCAAGACAGGGAATTGCATCCCCTGCCTTGTTTGAAAGCTGAAAGCCGACACCAATCACACCCGAAGAGGCCGAAGGTCCGGTCCTCTAGAAGGGCGGATGATTATGGGTTTCATCGCTGCTTGTTAAGCCTCCGACCTGGCCTGATACACTTCAGCAAATCAGAGTGTGTGTAAGGTTGGACACTTGTCGTGGATTCAAAAACAACACCAACTTTCGAGTGAGGCTTGTATAATTGAAGGACAGTTCCTTACCACTTGCGCACCATAATTTTAATTTCCCTGCACTCAGCCCCAACTCGTTGGAACTGCATTCTTGGGGTTACAATTCACACCTACGCACTCTGATCTGTTTCACTGAAATGCTCAGAATGGTGCTGAAGTAGATTAGCAGGATACTATGTGCTGGTTGACTAAGAGCTGGTATGGCGAAGTGTCACTTTCTCTAGGAACGGATGCAAAGCAAACTTCGTTCAGGTTGGAGAAGGGGAATCTGATAGCCAAGTTCCGAGGTCCAAATGAACAAGGTTTCTACAGTCGAGAAGGAAAGGAATGACTGACTTTCAAGCTAGGCAATAAAAACCATCCCTGGAGTTGCTGGGTGAATATGCCCGGAACGACCTTCCTCGAAGGGCACTAATCCCCATGAAGTCAAACGATCTGAACTTCGAGAATATAGATAAGATTTCAGTGACACGTACGATAGACACAGTTCGACAAAAAGGAATGCAAAAACTCGGAGCCTCTTGGGAAGACTTTTTTGGTAGCTTGCACGGCACGGCCTCATGTCTGTCATTCCCATAATCGGTGAATCTAGACGTCTGCGTGGCGAGGCCAGGGAGAGAAACAGGCAACCATTCTTTACTGAAATCTATAGTACACTCGATTTTCATCTATCTACTTCACCTACAAGAGAACCTGGAAGTCATGAACAAATTCGCCATTGATCACATTGACTCGGAATCACGAATGACGTACTACTGCCGCGGTCATCTGCAGGGACATTTTCTCTTGGACGAGGCATACACCGACAAAGATGCTCAATTGATCTTCCAGGAAGGCATGCTCCAGCAGCAACTGGCACCGAGCGGGATGAGAACGAACCTGGCACGAGGTCACTCGTTGAAAACCCAGGGCGTCATGAAGCCCTTGTCATCCAGCAGGCCCAAGTCTCGGAGCCTGCGCTCGGCATAGTACTCCAGCTTGTCAAGCCGGGCCAAATGGGCCTCGAACCAACCTTGCAATTCCTGAAGAACGCGCTTCTCACCGAGCCGGACGACCACGGCCACTTTCAGGCGAGGATCGTCGATGCCTGCTGCCAGCAGCCGCACGTCCTCGTCGACGCTGGTGCCGTAGCCCTCGAGCGCAGCGCGGCAGCCGTCGAGCATGGCCGTGCAGATGCCCTCCTCGTTCTCGCGGCTCACCGGCAGCGAGATGTGCCCCCAGGCGGCGTCGCGGAACAGAGCCTCCAGGAGGAAGGCGTCGGGCCCGTCCAGCACCATGAGCCTCAGATATGTCAGCATGTCCTCGGACGGGCCCTGCCCGCACACGAGGTCGAACGAGACGGACGCGCCGAAGCCGTTAATGTCCGCGATGTCCACCTTGTCGTCCGCGAAGCGATCGCCTTCGGGGATCTCGAGCGTCAGCGTGAAGCAGTCGCGGCTCTGGCTCTGCAGAAACGCGGCGGTGGATTCCGCCGACTCGACGAAGCCATACTCGAGCGCTAATTGCCCGTTGCCCTTCTCCGCGCCGTAATCCATGACCACCTCCTGGCCAGCTCGAAAGTCGCCCTGCGCCCTGACGACCAGCGCGTCCTGCGAGCCGAAGAACCCCGTGCCCTTGCGCAATTCCCAGCTCGGCCTCGCGTCGCTGGCGGCCGCGCCGTGGTTGATGAAGTCCGCGAGCGGCACCAGGGCCAGGTCCTCGCCCGTGAGCGGGGGGAATGTGCGCGACCGCAGAATTCCGAAGGCCCACGAGAACGCCTCTAAATTGAAGACGCTCGGGTCGAAGAGGGCCATGTTCGGCACCAGGACCTCGCTCCGCACTCGCTCGAATTCCGTTTCCACGAACTCTTTGAACGACAGAGTGGAGCCGAGCAGCTGCGTGCCTTGCAATTCCGCGAGCTCCTCGTCTGACCAGAATAGGGTCGAGTTCAATTCTGCTGGCAGCAACTTAAAGTAGGATTTCCATGGCGAATTCAGGTTCGACCGTTCCCAGAGGAGAAACAGCGCAAGACAAACCCAGGGTCTTTGCCCTTCCACGGCACTCCCGATTGGAGATTCTTTCACCGTGGCCACGGTGATCCAACTTTTTCTCGGAACTGCGAGTATTTCCTCTCCTCGCCATAATTCCCTCTTGGATATGAGCCCGATTCCGGATTGGACTCGCGCAGGTTTGACCGGCAAATTATCCAAGGCCACTCCGATGCTCCCGACTAGTGTCTCTGCCTCCTTGATATCAGAATTCGTAGCTTCGACGCTAGACGTGGAGACATTAAGGGAACTCACCGTGACTCGTCGTCGCGAGCTCGACAATCTTCCAGCTGCTTCTCTTCTGCCGTGTCCGCCCAGCAGTGAGCTCCGGCTCATCGTCGACATGTCTCGCGGCCATCTTCCGGGCACTCCCCCTCCCAGGCTGTGTCCGCACAGGAGCGGTGAGCTCCCATGCAACAACGCCATTCTGTCCTGCAACCAGGCTTGAGATTTTCTTCGACTCTGATGATTTGGTCACACTACTCGTCGAACTCGTCGAACTACAAGCAACTACAAACACGGTTCACAACATCATCGGGTGCGGGTTAGCAGAAGGTTCAGTGGTTTAAGGGAAGGCGGAATCGGCGGGTTTACATCTCGACGAAACCATGGTGAAAGTTGCCCCACTCTCCTTGAATGTGATAAAAGTCGTGCAACATGGTCCGGACTCCAGAGCACAACCGGGAATTGGACTTCTCGGCAAATGCATACGACTGTGGGGTTGGGTTGGGGTTTAGGGTTCACACGGACACTCTCACTCTGACCGTCGTATGCGAATTGAAGGACAGAGACTGAATGCAACGTCTGAGAGAGAGAGAGAGAGAGAGAGAGAGAGAGAGGATGGGGAGCTTGTGTCCAGGGGATGGATTGATTGATTGATCGACTTGGATGACAGAAAGCCAAGGGGGACAGAGGGAGATGCTCGAGACGAGACAGGGGGACAAAAGTTCCGAATAGACCATATCTCTCAGGACCAATCATGTCGACGGATCGCCCGGCTAGGGGTGCCCGGGTGGCAAATTCTCCTCCCGCCAATTGTGTAAGGATTTATGGTAGGACCCACGCAAAGCAGAGAGAAGGGCCTGTAGATGTCATTAGCCGAGCGGACCTTTATGGAGCCCATCGCTCCCAGATGGATGGTCATAAGACAGTGAGAAGTGGGGCGCTGCGAGGGTCGAACTAATCAATTCCTCGTGCCGGTGGTCGTAGCCATGGCGCTCTCAGTGGTAGTGGCTGCAGCCGCGACGGGAGGAGCAGGAATTCGGTGCAATTCCCTCGATCTTGGTGCAGGGTTGATGTGCCATCGGAGCAGGTGGAAAGGGAGCGCGGGAGCTGTCGGTGCTAGTAAAGCGAGCCATGGTTGGGATTGTATTGTGGGTAATGTGACAAAGTCTAAGGTAAGCAGAAGGGCTGTAGCAGTGGGAGTCTCGGCCGGGACAGCAGCGTTGATCGCTGGTGCAGTTGCAGCAGCTGGAGCACTGGCGGTTGCGTCCATGGGAGGAAGAGAGCGCCCGTCGCAGCAGGCGATTTTAGTTACTAGAAGGGGAATGCAGCTCTTTGAGCAGGTACCTGACCTCGTTCTTGCTGAATACTCAATTCCATCCCCAAGTCCGTGTCCTCACGAAGTCGAATTCCGTGCATTTATGAGCGTGATTCATCAAGTCTAGAGAAAGTCCGAGATTTTGGAAATAGCAGGGATCAATCGCGTCATCAGGCAATTTCTACCTGGGAAGAAGAAAGAGCTAACATCATTGTCCTCTTATCGAAAGCACAATGGGCCTTATGAACCTCCAAAGTCCGCAACCAGAATTATGATTTTGTGGAGAAGGAAATGGCCACTTTCTCCCTACTGTAGGGTTACAGCACCGCCCGATCATCGATTACTGTGAACATACATAAAAAGTGCACTTGTGTGCTCTGTTTCCACGTGGGATGTTCGTCACACTCATGAAGGTTCTACTCTACAACCGTCTAAGTGGCTACTAGAATCGTACTCAAAAGGATGATTTCTTAGGCGACTTTACGCTCCGTGGACAGAGCTCTCATGATAACGCGAGAGCGAAGTCTTTACATGTGAGTGGGTGCACAGTGGGAAACTTGTGAAGATCGTCAACCGCCAGATCTTGCACATGATACTTCGGAACGTTTGACCAACTCTTCCCCCTTGTAGATGGTCCCGCTCTTTTATGGTCTTGTAATTATCTATCGAAACGAGTCGTTCATGTCACACCTTGAACCACTCGATATGCATTTGGAAATGTCTCCCGGTAGAGTGGAGGCTTTCGTATAAAATGTGACAATTTTGGGAGGTTTGAAGTTTGGTTCGAAGCCGTGCAACACTTCTACCTCATTCACTCAGAAATTGCAACTTTGTGATTGTCCCTGAGACCCGCGGGCAATTTCTCCTCAGTTGCAAGACTTGACTTCTTAATAGTAACTGTAAAGTAATGCATTATTGCTGGAATCCGAGGAGAGAACTTTGCAGAAGTGGAATCCGGTTTCTTCGTCCGATTTGAAACGAAGCAAAGCAAGTGACTGGTTTCAAGGTGTTCTTCATTCACAGACTGCTCCGAATTTGGCTGTAAACGTTAGTACACTCCAGAGTCCTAGCTTGAGTTACATGAACATGTAGTCAGAGCAAAACAGCTCCGCTTGTGGGTTGGTGACCTTCATATGTCTAGGCTAAGTCAGCAACACCTATTTTTTGAGAGTTGCCGAAACCGGGAATGAGCATGTATTGGATTAAGTGATCCTCTTAAAGGTTTAAACTTACTACACCAGTAGCCCTGTCACTTAAGTTAAAGGGCTCTCGGTGCACAGCTTCATAGTACCCACACATCATCCTTCGTTTATGGCACGGCTGTTCTACACATATCACCAACATACAACGCACTGGAAGAACTCTGACGGAAGTTCTTGTTTCTTACACTTCTTGCACAAACAGGGTAAAGTAAAGGAGTCGGTCGAAAAGTTCGACGAAGCCATGGAGCTGGATCCTCGACAAAGGCCATGTGCGGTTCTCCACTGAGCTCGCATGGTAGTACTTGCTTCAAATTTGAACTACACCATTATCAGTTCATTGCTGAATGTCATGATAGTTCTTATGGTCCTTGAAGCGCTTGCGAGGTGCAAGTTTTGTCATGGTGGACTCGGAGGTGTCTCCCTCCCAGTCTATGGTACAGGAAGGGGGTGATTAATGTGCGATATCGTCATGTTGTCCAGATCTTTGGCAACGAGGGCTCTCTTTATATTACTTGGACAGGTAATGTCTATGTTCGACTCGCAAGCATTGATCTGTCCATCGTTTCAGAAACAGAACAACCAATCCAGTTGTTTTTTTCTGCTTCATAAATGTCTTCATGGTCTGCCCTTCACTTGTAGTTAACTTGGTATTGTGATCAGGTTTGAGGATGGAGCAGCTCAATTTCGAGAAGATGTTGCTGTAAACCCCAACGACACCGAGGAGGTAAAGAGCACATGCTGTTTAGGAATGTAACAACAAATTTCTTGGCGTTTAGTCGGCAGAAAAGGTTTGCGAAGTCCTTTAGGTCGCAGGTTTTTGTTTGTACGAGACGTTAAACAATACTGGTCATTCAAGCTCTACATGTAAGCTAATATGTCGAAGTAAAATAAATGTTCAGGAAGGACTGGTCAGGAGAGAAGATATGCGATTCTTATCTTGGTGCTAGTTGCATGCATCGTTTCTTAATTTATGGAACACAATATTGAGCTTCCCGCAACTCTTATCCTGGACAGAACTAGAGATAGCGCAATGATAGTAGTTGTTAGTTCAGATGCTGTCAAGTGATTACCAAATACGATACCCAAGGTCAGAGAACTAATGTTGAACCAGATGCCGTGGAAAGGTGGTAATGCAGCAAAGCATTTAATACTCGAATCTGCATACCTGCATATAGGACCTCTGGAGCGATTAGTGCCGAAGATATGACGCTGGACAGCTACCGTTATGTTGGTGTTTTTTATGTAGAAAATGGCGGGCCACCGTTCACATTTAGCTAAATCTCTTGAATCAACTGCATGTGTATGAAATATCCTCCTCTCACGAAATTCTCCTCTCAGAAGACACGAATCAGCATTGAAAGCTTGCACATAAATCAAGATTGCTATCAGACATGGCACAAGTAAGCCTCGTGGTTGAGTTATCTTCTGAGTAAGCACTGAGTATATGTTGCAGGCTATTTGGACGTTTTTGTGTGAGGCCAAACTGTATGGTGCTGAGGAAGCACGGAGAAAGTTTTTGATGGTGCGTATCTAACACCAACGATCACTGAAGCACTTTTCCGCCGGCAGTTCAGATAAAACCACTTAGCATGCGAGTGGAGTTGTTATGAGTTGGTGAAGAGGATTCAGTTAGTATGTCGATTTTTAAATCTGTACTTCGAAGGAAAGAAGGCCACCAGTGACGAACACATAGGATTTGCTATCCAACGTCTCTCAAAGTGGCCAAATACTTAAAAAATCTGCGCACCGCTGACAGAATGGGCGAAGCTGACTTTGTTGTATTCGTTGACGGAAGGATAGGTTGGTACAGACAGTCGTCCAGTTATGAGAAAGATTTACGAAGTTTTCAGGGATGGAAGACCAGTAGAGGAGGTAAGTGTGAATAGAGTAAATTAGTTCGCACCAACAGAAAATTGCACGTGGATCAACAAAAAACACCCGACACGTTTCTGCTCACTTTGCTGTCTTCGTTGGTTCATTGTTTCGACCAGTTTTGGGAACTTAAACTGTCTCAAAGTCTGCGGAATACTGACTGATATCAGTACTTTGCACAGATTTTGCAATCTGTGAGTAGCACAGGAGGAGCGGACTTCTTCTATGCCAGCTTGTATACGGGACTGTACCACGAAGTTTATGTACGTTACATTGCACCATGTCGCTCGGTCCTTTTCGGCTAGATGCAATCATTCTGATGATATTCAGCAAGTGCAAGATAGAGTCAATGGCTTTGAAGCTTTTATCGCGTATAGTTCGTTCCTGGAGTAAGAAGATTCAATCTATGGTCAGAAGAAGTGGAATGACGCAAAGCTTTGGTTGGCTTTTGTGCAGGACAACACAGATGCTGCCCGAGAAGCAATGGTAGCTGCCGTGCGGAGCCCTTACGGATCAAGGTATGTTGACAGTAGAGTGCAGACTTTTCACGTACTTGCAAGTCACTTTGGACATGTGGATTTTTCTGTATTTGGATTTGGATCTTGAGCTTTGTTTCCTACGACATGATCTGGTCACGTCCAACTGTGAATCAAGCCATGGACTAGTAAATGTGAAACTTCGGGTGTCATGAGTGGGATATGGCTTGTCATACTGGATGTAATGATAATGTAGATAAGGGAGCACTACCTTCCACCTCGCAAACAGCATACTGACGCGAACATGTCTCTGCTACATGTATTGGCCCGGTGATCAGATCATCACCGAGTGCCGAAAGTAACTTCAAGATGTCGCACCGTCTTGGTTGAAAATTCGCGCTGTCCACCCACAAGTAGCTGTACACGGTCATGTCAAAGATTTGTGACTTTCTTCCATGATGACACCATGTCTGTAAGACGTATGGAATGGGGAAGCTCGTGTTGCGATGACTTTAGGGTTTAACATGGGTACAAAGCTTTAAGTTGTTTTCATGAATCTGTTGGAGAATCTAGTTTGTATCGTATGTCTTGCTCCGTGCTCAATGGATGCGTGCTGTGTGGTCGCAAGACTATGGGAAGCACGTGCCGATGAGTGGAATCCCCAGCTGTCCCATGTGATTGTTCTTTCCTAGTTGCTTGGCACAGTGTTTCACCAGGCGTGTTCTCAGGGAGCTCGTTAGGCAAAGGTCGGTGGGTGCCATTATGAAATACATAGTCAGTCTTTCCTCCTTATTTTGATGTAAGGGAACGAGAGCCTCGTTTGCCTACTGTACGCTGATCTCTCCCGAAGAATTCCCGCCGTTTCTGTTGAAGAGATTCATCGGGTGGAATGTATGTGTGCTTGTGGCACGCAAAGTTCATGGCCGCAAAACAATGGCAGCCATTAAATCTCGAGTGACTTCCAACTTTCTCTTATCTTCTCTCTCCCCTTATGTCTGTCCCTTTCTCTCTCTCTCCCTGGCCCCTATGCAATGCATGGGCTAACCCGTCCACGTCTTGGGTTTCCGTGACCACGACCGAGCGAGGTATTTTGTATGATAGGGAGAAGGGCGAATAAAACCTCAGGGAATTCTACTTTTCAGCATTATGTGGGGGGATTCTCATGGTGGTGGAATCTCCATGTCCATGCTCTGCACTGCTAAACTTCGAGATTCCAAAATATGATTTGAAACGGTGGGCTGAGTGGAAAGCCTCATGGAGGATCATGCATAGCTACACGAACATTGCTTTTTGCGTACTACATTCTCGAATAGTATCCGGGGTATAAGTTTTGGCTTGCTCTTGTCACTGCAATATAATTGCGAGTCTTCACATCATGGCGGTGTAGTTTAAGCCGGCTGAAGTCTCGTCTGCTGAATCGAATTGTCGCAGGTCAGGTGACTATATGGCAACTCTCGCTAAAGTGCACTGCCTCTGCCGGAACTGGGAGCTCGAAACGTCCTCGAACGCCTGACAAGTAGAGCTTTTACTGCTGTCATTAAACTGGAATTGAGCTGGTCAACTACTGGGATGGATTTCTCCACCATAACTCTGAGTTTAAATGCTAGTGCTATACATCCGTAGTTGTGTAGTACATTGTTTTAATAGCGAAAATCTGGGGTGCATCCATTCTCGGCTGGTGTAAAGTGTACTCAATAAAGATTCAGTGCAGTGCTACTACAGACATGCACTGAAAGAGCTTGTCACGTCAAAAAGGTTAAAGTCGGCCCTGGTATCGCGCACCTAAATATAGGATAAGTTTCGACAGGATCTTCAGTGGGAGCTTCATTCCTCCTCAACGGGGCATTCACTAGTACTCTGTTACCCCAAAGTTGAGCATCTTGTGACTGTCGGTCGGATGAAAGCATGAACTTTGGCATCGATCAGTCATCTGATCCTTCGCCCCTCGGAAGGAAACACTTATCCACAGCCTAGAGGCTCGAGACATCAACGGAAGAGAATCCGGAGAGGCTCTGCGCCTGCTGCCTCACAGTGGAATGTCTTACGGTGTAATTGCACGAGCTTGCGAACCGTCGGAGTCTCAGATCGTCATGCCCGTCAGAGTCAGGGTGGTGGAAGTACGCGGGTAGATGCAAGGCAGCTCGCTTCCACCGTGAAGCCGACGATCGAGTTGGTAGAAGGAAGGTTTCCCTGTACGAATACATGCCATTGAATCTTCACAGGAAGGTTGCAATCCTACCGTCCTTCCTCCTCTCATTAAGTCATTCACACATTTCTGGAGCCTGACCAGTGGGAAAGCATGTGTCCGGAGAGCCGGGTCGATCGAACGTTACGAGCAAGGGATTTTCCCGAAGATATGATCCGTCTGCAAAGCTGCAAAGGTAAGTTTGTGACACAGGATCATCTGATGTTCACTGTGGGACATGTGCAGTGCAGTGTAGTGCAGTGCAGTGAAGCAGTAGAGTCTTGAGACAGGCTCGGCACTGTTGGCAGATCAGAGGATTGATACCTTGGTGTTCCGGAAGCATAACTGCCCCCGGGCCTACCAAGAAAGACAAATTACAGTGTCGAAAAAACGTCGACAGGGAGGGATGGAGGGAGCGGGGGGAAAGCATCGCCGGCTAAATTTACATGTAGTTATCGCAGGTGACGAAAAGTTGTTGACCATCGCATGCAACGGAAGTTCACTGCAAGGAACTTGCTCGATGTTGCTGGTCAGCGTTGATTATCGTAAACAGTGGCACGCCTCACGCTGGCTGGCTGGCTGGCTGGCTGGCCCGCCCAGCCACTGCTCTGCTCTGCCCTGCCCTGCCCTTCACTTCACTGCACTGCACTGCAGGCCGAGACCTTCGTGCAGAAACCCCGACTGAACGATCTGTGGAGTGAGAACGTCCTGCCGAAACGCAGTCAATGGGAGGAGAGAGTCTGGTAAGGCAAGGCAAGGCAAGGCAAGGTAGGGTCACGCACAACAACAGCAGCAGGAGCAGGAGTGAGAGCGAGGCATCCATGTAGCCAGAGAGCCAACCGGCGTGCCATCGGGGGCGAGCGGGTGGCATGGAGAGATGAGAGGGAGAGATGGAGAGGGGAAGGAGGGAGGGAGGGAGGGAGGGCGGGACGGAGGGAAAAGACTTATCAGACCGAATACAGCAACAGCTCTGGCTTCGGACCGGGATTGACCCACTGCACACATGGCACATCTGCGCTTTGCAGGGACTTTTGTGGATCTGAACAGGGGAACAGAAAGATTCACTTGGGCACAGGCAGGCACGGAGTTTATGGATCTTAATACATTACATTCGCCCCCTCTCTCATTCATCGCCCGGTTTGCCATTATCGAAGATCCGGGTGGAATCAGATGCCGGAACGAAGCCTGTGCACCACATTCCTCCGCACGCAACAGCACTCTCTGTTATGTCCCGCACAGATGGCTGCAGTCGCAGCGACGTTTATGGGATGGGGGGAGATAGAGCGTTGGAGCTTGTTTTTCCTCTTCGGCTCAGGGCTAGTCAGTTAGATGGATGGAGGACTGCGATACCGGGTGGTATGGGAACAGAAGCCCGGGCTGCCTGGCCTGCCAATCGCCATGCGACTCCTCTGCTCGTCTGCTCCTGTGCAGAAGGAGCATCGATCGGAATTCCCTTCATACAGAAGAGGAGGAGGCAGCGAAAGTCTGAACATCGACCGTCGCAGATTGTGCCGACTCGAGGGACCACGACAAAGTTGGTCACAGCTGGTGCTCGTGCCACTGTGGCATTCCCCTTCCTCCTCCTTCCTCCTTGAGCCTGCCTTGTCATGGCCACGACCACTTGCTTCCTCCGGCAGACGCAATCCTTCCAACAAAATCCTGCGCATGTTGCAGTGAGAGGCTGTATTCGTCGCAATCGGTGGCGTGTCGGCCGATCTCTGTAGCCAGGCTCTCTCGAGCAATCCTTTCCTCCGCTAAGCATAGAGAGTGTTCGTTCTTATGTACCTTACCTGCACGGGCTTGAGACTCTCGCCCTCGGAAAGAACTCTGAGCTTCGTGTTGCTCGTTCCGATTCTCTGATACTGTCGACTTTCCTGACGACGCTTCACACAAATTCAAGCAACTGGGGAATAGCCCCGGGCACTCACTGGCTCACTGGCTCGCTCGCAGCTGGCCTTCGGTTAAGCTTTGGACCGAATTCTCACTTAGTAACAATGCTGCTAAGTATAGAGGCCCGGGGCCATGCGAGGCACTGACATGGCTATGGTGCGAATTTCAGATCCCTGCAGATCCATATACTGAGCGACCGAATGCACCATCCGAAAACACTCGTTCCCAAAAGTACCCCCCGGTGACAAAAACATGCTCCGGGCCGAGATTTATGATCTCTTCGCCAAGTCGTGAATATGATAAAAGATGCCAGGGATCGCAGTTCCAGTTCCGGTGCTGCTCGGGCTCTACCTCACATGAGCCATAAAACTCCAACAGTGGTGGCTGGGCTGAGGGGGAACGGCAGAAACGCATGCCAAGGACACAGCATTAGGGCTTATGGCGGACTGGTGTGGAAATCATCTTCTCACCGCTCGGACTGTTATCGGACTGTTAATCCAATCATATCAGCAACAGTTGAGAAGAAGAAGGGGCTGGACTTTGAGACAAAATGTGATAACAACACACGAAGCAGAACAAATTAACGGATTCTGGTTAAGACGGCAGGAGCGGGAGTAGGAGGAGGAGGAGGATCTTGGCTCTAGAAACGAGTGCAGGCCTCATGAGACTGAATATTTATTGATGGGCCTAGCTGGACTCAGAGAGCAAGCACATGTTAAACGACAACTTAATCTCGGCAGGCCGTGGCTGACTAATTGGCCCCGTGCATTTTGGAGGTGTGGGGGATGATGTTCGCCCTCGAGCCCGTCGTTCCTCGTTGCGTGCCTGCCTGCCTCTGACGGCCGTCCGTCCGTCCAGATCGAGGTCTCCTTCTTGCAGCAAATTGCCAAAAACTTCTGGATGCTCAAACCGCCCACACTTTTTGGGCGGTTTGTGTCGACGCATCCACAGAATGTATATTTTGGTGGAGCCCAAGGGTGCGATTCACGAAGAGAACTTGAATAAGTAGTTGACTTCCGCTCTCTCAGACTCCGAAGAGTAGCTGACCCAGAATGATATTTTGCCCTTGACCATGCATGACACAACTACCTAATCCCCACGAACACTGCAAGTGATTCTCGTGATTCTGAACTCCATCTATCCGCGAGATAAGCTCTCTTAACACCGCTGCACTGTATGAGCCGCAGCGGGCATTAATGCTCCCTCGAAACACAAGCTCTGCTGCTCCCTTTTTTAATCCCCTGCTGAGGCTCGAACTCGAACTCTTCAAGCTCGAGTCCGAGTAGTCGGTCACAATTGTGACCTCCACAAGCCCCGGTCCAGCAGAACAACGAAGCAGCCCGACGAGTTCAGTCACAGAGAAAGAGATTCATGCTCCCCACACCCCCTCGTCCTCCTCGTCCCACTCATGATGATGCCGATGCCGAGGGTGCATCGTTGTTTATGCTTCCATGTTTAAGTCAACTCACGCACAGAAGAAATGTTCTTCGAAGGTGGGATTCGCAAACTAAGAAAATGGAAGAAGAGGAAGAAGAAGAAGAAGAAGAAGAAGGCCATGCCATGCCATGCCTTAACAACGTCAGAAACAAAGCAACCAACAAAGCACGGAATCTTTGAACTCGTAATGGGGCTCGACACTGGCTCCCTCTCGTCGTGTCTCGAAAGGGGGCTGCTGTGACAGCTAGCGAGCTCGAGTGAATGAATGTGAGTGAGGTAGTGCGTTATGGGACTTATTTTACGTCGAGATGCTCCAGTTTTGCCACGAATAACACACTGTCCTCTCTCTGACGTACTTCCCATCCGTATTTAGCCCACCGAAGAAGAAGAAGAAGAAGAAGGGCTTATTATATCCCTTCAAATCACCGTCAGGTGTGGGCATATACTCTACACTACTGCTGTATTAGAGTCATATAACGCCAGGTCGTGTTAAGTATATAAAGGTGAAATATACCGAGGCTACTTCGAGCAATAAATTCACAAAATCGACATGTGCTCCAATATGTTGTCTTTGAGCTCGTAGACCATGGACTGTAGTTGTAGGTGGTTGGATTCCTCCTATTCCTGATTCATATTTTTGTTGAGGCTGAACAGCAATTTTATCTTTATATCTGTTTTGATAAGGGATGAACATCCCCAGCCCACCGTCCTTACCGTGAAGTGGAGTGAAGTCCTTTGTGCCCAATTCGTCTTAAAATTATTGTCTTCTTTGAAATATCCATAATATAACATCTAGAGTATCCTATAATTTATTTCGCATTCAGCGTAAATTCAGGATAGTTTGTGCAGATCACAACGCAGCAGCGTGGCTTTGTTTCTACTAAGAGCAAATCTCGGAATTCAACATCTACAATCACCAATTCAATATTTTATCAAACATCTAATATATCCCCAACTCACTCACGGTTTGTTGCACCGCCTGAAATTGGCCACCTTGGACTTGAAGTAACCTACATAGTTACATAGAGAGCGCAGTGAAGGCCAGACCATGGAACCGATAAACGCCATATTGGAGAACTGTACAGTCGTGTGACCACTCCTCCGTTATAAAGCAAAGTGCTATGACTAAATCAATATCAAGTTCTTTATGCACAGAAAGGTCCAAAAAATTGTACAATAATACAAAGATGATTTTCCTCATTCGAATTTGCACATGTATTCTTGCAATTTGATATAC